TTCTTTTTAGCTCATCCGCCGCCTTACCCCCCCCCCCTTTTGGCAGTAGATTCGGTTTAACCCATAGCCCTGTGCTTTGGGGATAATCAGGAGTACCTGAAGGCCAGGAATTAGCTTCGTTATGGAAAGACTGGAAGCCACAGGCGGGCTGAATTCCACAGCCCAGATCTGTATAGGACTGGAACCTGAGCGAATTCTTCCTCTGGGCTTCTGAAAGTGCATTTGCTACTGTGTGTTTGGGGAGAGGGGTTATTTAACAAGTTTGGAAATATTTCTCCAATTTTTTTTAAAGCACAACGCTCGCGTAAAATGATCACTTAACGGATCACCGTCTCTTGGGTTATGAGATGAGATCAGGCTTTGAACAACACGAACGATTAGCGTTGGCGTGGTGATGTAGTTTACAGTATCCTCTATGGTGCTGTCTCCAAATGTAAACTGGAGTGCGAGGCACTCGGGGGAGTTCCGGGTTGTTCTGAAATGTGTATTTACCCGCTCCTCCACATTGCAGCGCAAGGAAAGGCGAGGAACTTCACTGGCTCGGATTCTTCTTCTTTTTAAATTTACTTGAGGAGCAAGAATCCAGACAGCCTGTGTTGTGAAACGGAAAATAGAAGTGTGAGGTTCAAAAAATCGCATGCGAAATAGCTGAACCAAAGATCTGTCTCCATACCGTCCTGATCTTGACGAAATAGCTCCCATAGTGCTAGGGACTGACGAGTTGAAGAGAAATAACATTTGGGCTTTTTCTGATAAGAGGAGCTGTCCACAGGCTGTGGTCCTGAATTTTTCCTTAGGCTGCCATGCGCCTTTTCTCTATCTTTGGCCCCTAGGTGTCGCCTCGGTTGTTGTTCTGGCTTTTTACAATTGTAACAATGTTTGTTTCTTTTTTAACCCTTGGAATTTACCAAAGTCTACCCGTGTCAGCTGAAGAATTTGTAACAACCCAATCTCTCCTGGCCCCCTCAACGTTCCCCACACGGGATTCAGATTCTTACTCCAAACGAAACTGTTTCACAACAGAAATGTAAGGGTAGAAAACAATCATCGCAGCCGTAGTGTAGATGGGAAATTGCCCCCTAGCTGGAAAGAGACACTGTTTCCTACCAAAATAACAGGAACGTTAATTATTACCTTCAGAGAAGCAAGGTAGATGAACTCAGACACGTGAATACAAATCAAGTTTTTCCCCTTCAGTTATCTAATTAGGATGACTAGTTGAATGTGTGTAATTAGCTTCTGTGTGTGTTTACAAACTGTTATATTCCTATGGATCTGGGTTATTTTGATTAGAATAGCTTGGTGTTGTCTAAATATAGAGTAAGACCCCAGTCTCTGACCTGAAAAGCATACAATTGGGAAAGATAAATGAGAGGTAATAGACAAGCACGCGCCCCCCTCGGCCCTCCCCCCCCAACAAATGAAAAGAAACCGAGGGTGGAGACAGTATCTATCTCCTAACTCGTTTGTCGGGGGTGTTTAAAAATAAACATGAGCAGTTTTAGCTCTGTCAAGCTCTCTGTGTGTGAAACAATGAATGGATTTTTATAAGAAGTTAAACTGATATATGGTAGAGGAACCAACCAGATAATAATTTTTTGGTTAAAAGTTTAGATTATTTTAAAAAATAATTGTTGCTGGATCAACTGTGGTCTCCCATCTAAAAAGATGTTGTCTTTTTTGAATAAACACAGCTGGTCAATGAGAAGCGGTACAGCTGAAAGTTAATGTGCAGGAACTTTCTTAAAATTGGGGTAATGGTTTCTTGCTGTTGTCCTTAACTAAGGTAGCCATCTGTGTACATCTAGACTACAGGGTTTTGTAGACCGAAGTTTTGTCAACAGATACTGTCAACAAAACTTCTGTCGACATAGAGTGTCTAGACACATTCAGTTCTGTCGACAAAGCAAGCTGCTTTGTCGACAAAACCCTGTAGTCTAGATGCAACCCTACAGGCAATAACACCTTCTGTTGACAGAACTCTGTTGACAGAAGGCGTTATGCCTCGTAAAATGAGGTCTACCAGGGTCGACAAAACTGCTGAGTTCTGTCGACGTTATGTCGAACGAACTCAGCGGTAGTGTAGACGCAGGTATAGTTTTGTCGACAAAAGTCCACTTTTGTTGACAAAACTCAGTAGTCTAGACACACCCTTATACAGCATACAAAGAAAAGAGGGACTGGGGCTACATTCCCATACAAAATAACAGTAGAATTGCACATCACTTTGATCTTTGCATTCATGATTTACCACCACTCATCCTGCAACTGACATTGAAGAATACTGAGTTAATAAAATATCTGGTTCCTCTCCTACTTCGCCCTTTAATAAGTCTTACTTATGGATCTTGCAAACAGCTTTCCAATATTATTGACCTTTAACTAGTCAGTTGTGTGGGGGGTAATGAGGTGATATTGTGGGAAAACATTTCTCTGAGCTTAACCACAAGCCAACCATGGAACTAAACCTGTGAAAAGATCACACCAAACATGATGCAAGGTCCAGTCCTGAAAGGTTCTGAGGAACTCCTCAACATCTTTCACTTGTGGTGATGTCAAAAGGACTTAAGGTTTTCAGAATCTGTCCAGTAGCATGTCCTAGATTGAAAGAATGAGCTGTAAGACAGCGATCAAAACAGCTCTTAACAAAGTATTCAGTTGTTATTTAAAGTCTGTACAAATGCTCCCTGTCTTAAATGGGATTTGACACACAGATTTACATATTGCACTTGGTGCCATTTAGGCACCTCATTCATCAAAATTGAAGTATTAATCAGAGGTAATCAGAGATACTGTAGATAATTAATTGGAAATGTAATTTAACGTCATTATGGTTTGCTGCAAGGTTACCTTAGAATGATTTTCCTGCCTACTTTCTCAGATTTAATAGCATTTTACAAAAATGATGGGCATCAAAATACTTTTTACAGGTCACAGAAACTCACTAATTATATAATTGTAAAGCAAACTTGAATCCTGAAGAGGAAGAACCCAAGACAGGTACCCAGCTGGTGTAAAGGGATCCAAGTTATAATACCTAATAATTTGGCTTTACATTTTTTCTTATAACAGTGATAATTTTAGAAAGTTGTGGTGTAACTTTTTTTCCCCTAATATAGGTCTGTCTGGAAAAGATTCATAACTTTACAACAGTCCATGTCTGTCTTTTCCCATAGAATGAGACATAGCTTACAAACCTGAAAGGAGATCATTCTTAAGCCCATATTTGTATTATGGTAGCACCTATGGGACCATGTCACACAATGAGGACCCTGAGTTATCAGTTGCTATTCAAATAATGGATGCTTTATTCTAACCAGAGTGGATTTTCTTTTAATGATGCCAGATTCCTTCACCCTTACATACTGGGATAAATGCACTGCTGTCCAGAGGCAAAGACATGAAAATCTAAGTCAGTGGGGGGATTGTCTATATGCTGTGATAGACTCAGACCAGTTGGCTGCAGTAGTCTGGTAAAAGGGAAGTGTACTGGTCACTGAATGAATTTTTTGTTTATTTGTTTGCTTCATGAGTGACCAGGGCAGGGGCTGCTCCAAAGCAATCAGGAATGTACTAGAACCAATTAAGTCAGGCAGACACCATAAGACACCTGGAGACAGTTAAGAACTTGCTAGACTCAAGTAAGAGACAGACTAATCAGAACACCTGCAGCCTATTAAGAACCTACTAGGACTAGCTGAAAAGGCTCCCTTTCTGGGATGGTGGTTGGTGAGAAGCTGGGAATAAGCTGACATACTGTGGTAGAACTGGGCTAATGAGAGTGATCAGGAGCAAGGGGCTGGGAGGGGCTGTTTGGAGAAGTGGGCCAAGGCAGGGCTATATAACTCTGGTAGTGGAGGAAAAACTATCTGTTATCAGTGAGTGACATTAGGATCCCTGGCCTAGAAGCCAGAGTAGATAGTGGGTCGGGTTCCCCCAACCCCTCTCTATATCACCACAGAAACATTTTCTGGGAAGGAAAATTGAAGCTAAGGAGGGCTTTCAGACCAAACCCATTCACTGACCTGTAATGAAGGCGGCTCAGTAGCCTGTGATCTTTGGTTCCTAGAGGCTATGTTGAGGGTCACAGCAAGTCTGTGGCACACCCTTGCTGCCTAGAAAAGCAGAAACCCCAAGGCAAAATTGGAGTTTTGCCACAGTTTACATAGTTTTTTTTATTGCATCTTCGTCTTAGATTTTGGCAACACTTAAAACTGAGCATGGCTAGTTCTTTGATGTTTGAGCTGCGGCATTATAACTTCAAACTGCAGATGTCAGAAATCTCCAGAATTGCAAAGTGAAATTGTTCTATTTACTGGGATTGTATCAACAAATGATGCAAAATGCTTCTGTGAAAGCATAAGGAATAGGATTGCCGTGCCAGCATGGCTTGTAATACAATGCACTTGTAGCTTATTAATATAGGGACTTTGGTTTATTCCACATTTATTTATGGCTCTAATAGCATTACATCTGAGAGTTTCTAATTAGAATTTAGAAAGCCTAATAAATTTTGATTTCACCCTCATCTCATTGAATTGATAGTGTTTAGTACTGAGGAATAGTAAGGACTCACATGTGCTGATGAGTGTGCAGAGCAGCTGTAATTGGTGTTTGTTTTATTGACAGTACACATTCCGGCAGACAAAATATCTAGGACCAAATTCTGCCCTAGCGTAAAAGGGCATAAGCTTTGAAATTCGTGGTGTTAGACCAAGACTGGATACAGTCCTTCACTTGTTTTACATTTTTTGTCAGTGACTTGCTATCTTTCAAGGGCCATGTTTATCCTAGTGAAACTATTAACTTCAATGCAGTCATTTCTGTTTACGCCTGGATTAATTTAGCAACTGCCATGTAATGTATAGTGTTCACTTCTAACCGTAACCAATATGCTTGCATGCTGTGTAAGCCAAATAATTTGCTTCATTCATTAATGATGTAACTATTAGAAGCGGGGGAGTCTCTTGTTCAAGCTAATAGCAAAACTCCTATTGATTTCAGTGGGAGCTGGATTAGGCATAACGACTCCTTTGGTGTGGTGGTGGTATTTTTTTTGTTTTTTAAAACGAAAGTAGTTACTAGAGCTGTGTAAAAATATTTGCCACAAAATTTCAAAGCCCACAACTCTCAAACTTTTTCCCCTCCCTATAGTAGTGAATCTTTCTACAGAATCAAGTCTAGCTTTCCCCTGAAACGCAATATTGATGATATTCTTTTAAAATGTGAAACATAACTTGTCACTTTTTAATATGATTATGCTTTGAGGAGACTTCAAATTTGCACAACAAAACTTAAATCAAAATTCAGGAGGCTGGGGGAACATGCATCATCCACAAGCCCAACCTAAAAATCATGCGGTCAGTAATGCCACCTTAGACTGTTTACCCTCTGCCTAGAGTCCTTGTCTATACCTAGAAACTCCTCTTTTAATAGGATCATGTAATAGGACCTCTTTTCGGGGCCCGGGCCATGCAATACCAATTAAATGATGCTGCCCTAGAGGTATGAGGGAACTTTCCGGTTGGGGATGAAGGGGTTCTAAAGCCAGCTCAGAGGCACATGGCTGGAGAGGTACATGCACTGTCAAAAGAACTACTACCACTTCATGGGGGAGCACAATCCATGAGAGAGACTTTGCTGTAAGGTGGTCTTGGAATGGTTGTCTCACCTTCCTGGTTACTACTACATAGTGAAATAATGTGGGCCATGCCTTGGGAAATCTCCTCTGCCTGCTCCAGCAAGTAAAACTCTTTATTAAATAACTTGGTGCAGAAGCATGTCAAATTCACTTCATGTCAAAAACTCTCCTCCAGCAGCTAGATCCCTATGTTGATAGAGAGACCCAGTGAAACGACTAGGGGTCCACATAACGCAAGTCTAATTAGTTCTGGGTTTTCTTAAAGGAAAAATGCCACTACTAGTGTCAAATTCTGAATGTTTTCTAGGCTTTTCTTAGGGTACGTCTACACAGCAACATTATTTCGAAATAACGCTAGTTATTTTAAAATAAACTGCCTGCTGTATAGACGTGGACTAAGGTATTTTGAAATAATGTTGAAATACTGTCAAGCTGGAGGACTTTTTATTCTGACTCCTGTAACCCTCAGGCTGTGTCTAGACTAGCAAGTTTTTCTGCAAAATCATCTGATTTTGTGGAAAAACTTGCCAGCTGTCTACACTGGCCGCTTGAATTTCCGGAAAAGCACTGACGATCTCATGTAAGATCGTCAGTGTTTTTGCGGAAATACTGTGCTGCTCCCATTTGGGCAAAAGCCTTCTTGCGCAAATCATTTGCGCAAGAGGGCCAGTGTAAACAGCACAGAACTGTTTTCCGCAAAAAAGCCCCGATCGTGAAAACGGCGATCGGGGCTTTTTTGCGGAAAACAGCGTCTAGATTGGCCACGGACGCTTTTCTGCAAAAAGTGCTTTTGCCGAAAAGCATCCTGCCAATCTAGATGGGCTTTTCCAAAAATGCTTTTAACGGAAAACTTTTCTGTTAAAAGCATTTTCGGAAAATCATGCCAGTGTAGATGTAGCCCTAGTGTAACTCTAGAATAACTCCATGCAAGTCCCTGCTAGCAAATCCCTTCCTCCCAGTGATTGCTGTGTGGATATTCCCAATTTCCATATAAGCTACTTCGAAATAAGCTACATAGATGAGGTAGCTCAATTTGCATAGCTTGTTTCGAGTGAAGCCCTGCTGTGTAGATGTACCATGACACTCTGTCCAAGAACTGTTCAGCTCAGTCCTGCTTAGTCCGTGATCTCTGCCCCAGGTGGTATAGAAAATGTGTATCTGCAGAAGTCAGAGGTGCGTAGAAACAGTAGGAGGTAAAAAAAAGATATTTTATGTAGACGCGCTTGCAGTCAGCTGTCATGAAGCCATAGAGAGCTGAACTGAAAATAGACCTCAGTGGGATTTTTCAGAAGCACCTGAGACATAGGTGTTCATGTCCCATGAACTCTCAATGAGACACTTGCTTGATGGCCTAGATTTTTTTTAATGCATTTAGCCTTTGCTCCATTCAGCATTGCAACACCTAGCTGACTTAGGCCCTAAGCCCCATTGAATTTCACTTCAATATATGTTTAGGATTTAGACACTACATATCTCTAAAAATCTGAACCGAAGCTTTGTAATTCTACGCCTTTTTCACGGTTTTAAACTGTTATTCCACGGTTTTAAACTGTGTTCATGTAGAGGCTGTAATGAAATAGGCCTTACCTGTACACACAGGGACAGCTCCTGCCTCAAAGAATTCCTCTTCTGTGTAGGCAACTTGGAGGATCAAGGTCTGTGAAGATGAGCAACACATGGAGAAGGGATAAACACTCTTTTCCTTATCTCATCAGTTATGGTTGGATCATCATTCAATCCTCCACCATGTATATCTGTTCAAGGTAGCTCTAACGTCTACCTGTTGACCTTCTTTGATGCAGTCCATCCACCACTTCCTCCTCTTTTTCCTTGGGGTCACTTTCCTTCCACTCTCTTCTGCCATGCTATCTTTTCTAGGTGTCCTTCGTTCATCTTTACACCAAGCAATCATACAGCAAATTACTAAAATAAGAGGAAAAATGTACATAACTTGGTAACTGTACCCAAGTTATTATTCCATTACTTGTGGAACTATTTACAAGCAATGTTTATATGTATAGTTGCCATAAATTAGCCAAACTACTGAATCTGCAAGCTGTGTGAGGTTTTTTCACATGGTGGTTTGATAATTGTCATTTTGCTCTCAACAGACTTGATATAATGAAATCGAGAAGCTTTTGGTCACTTCTGGTATTGCTTGAAGTTATCCTGTCTGCCACCTGGGGGTGGATGGAATCAGATGGGACCAGGAGGCTCTCTGTGGACGCAGGGAGGTTGCAACAAAAGGTATTGTAAATCTGTCATACTTTATTAGTATATGCAGTAGTACTCAATGTTCCCAATTTGTAAGTGTCATACAAACATGGATGAAGACCTTATACCTGTCCTCAAAAAGTTTACATTCCAACTTCTCAATCCTCTAGCTGGTTCCATGTTGATGAAATTCTTTACCCATATGAAACCAGTGGCAGGGTTTGGGTCTAAAAATGTATTATAAGCAATAATAATAGTTAATATTTGGCCATTCTGCCTGGACATTCACCTGACGATCTAAAATTTTAGAAATTGATTTTCTAATTTTACAAAAGGCAACCCTAATTCACACTTGTTTTCAAGTGGCTTGAAAGGATTTCTGAAGGTATAATAGTTCATCACTGCTTACTATTACTAAGACTGAATACCATCAATGGAGTAACTTTATAGTGGGTTATTTCATCACAAGACATGACTTCATTCATTATGCTATAATTGCAATGTGCTCTTAAATCTTCAAGCACGAGGCTTCTGGGACCTGTGCAAGTAACTGAATCGGTTTTCACTGATGAAGTTAAAATGTTGGATTTCTTTGCAATGATTAAACAGAGACCCTCTATAAACTCTGAATAGCATTCTGCATCAGTATTTCAAGATAAGGACACAATCTGACTATTTTTATCAGAGTTCTTGAAGTGAATTTGTTCATAATAAGTGTGTCAATATCTACTAAGCTGAGATATTAAACTTATTTTTAAATAGCGGCCCAGAACAAACTGCTGGGGACAAGAAGAGCATTACTGAACACTTAATTTTTAAAAAGGTGCAATAAGAATGATGAAACTTTTTTACTTCCTATTTATCATGAATTTGCAAACAAATTGTCTTATGGTTTCAAAATGAGTGACATTTAAAACTGGCAGACTCTTGAACAAGTTATTTAATGGCATATTTAATTGTTATATCACAGATGCTGGACAAATAGACAAATATTAGCCATTAAAAGTATATTTATGAAAGAACAGACACCAGGGAATTATCTTTTAGAATGTTGTTTTTCCTCTGTGTGAGCACACTCATCTCAATAAGATGGTTTACATGATGTGCTTTTCAAGATATAAGTACACTTGTTCACTGCTGGGGATCACTTCAAAAAATCAATTCTGACTGAGTTGGTGATGACACTGCAAAGGTTGGCACTCTGTCTCTAGTGCTCATAGGTGCTCTTTCCTAGATTAAAAAAAAAATATATATTCATTACTGCTCTGAGCTCTCCTGCCTACCACCTCTAATCTTGCCATATATTTTTCTGCTTTCAAGCACTATACAAGATACCAGTGATTGTAATGTTAAATTAATTTTGCATGTGTGCTTTAAGCTCTGATCTCATGTCTTTTGTTTCAAATTGCTTTTGCTTTCTTCTTAAAGATAACTAATTGTATCTTGCATGCTTTTTCGGATTTAAAAATTGTTGTGCCGTTCTTCATGAAGTACATGCTTATTAGAATTTTGACTTTCTAAAAGAATGTTACTCCTTGGCATGAAATTCATTAATCAAATTATTTAGTATAATAGTTTTATATTAAAATACTTGAAAGGAGATTCATTCATTTGATCTTGCTCCAAAACCATAAAGTTATTACACCAATTACTTGATTTTGCTCGGGGTGAAAGAATCTGAGCTACTGATGTATTTGTTCAAAGATTTGTAAAGGATTTATAAGAAATGTGAATATTATTAAAATATTGAAATGTTTTTATGTACAAAGGCTGTAGTTGAAATGGCTTCAAGGGGTATAGTATTTATAAATGCAGATTAAATAAAGTAGCAGCACAGAAGGCTTGTTCAACAAGCAGTACTGTTTGTACAGTGAGGAGAATACCAAATGAAATTTGAAAACGAATTACGTGCAACTCCATTCCAGACAGATCTGCCTTTCTCTTAATTTCTTTCTTTCAAAATGAATGCATTTCACCCTTTAAGAAAGTACAGCTTGCATATACCACTGATTATTACAATAAAAACTATTTAGGGAGTTCCTTTTGTCTCTTGGCTGTACTTACTTCTGTTTAACTTTTTGCTTTATTTATTTATTTATTTACTTTTTTTATTTGCTACCCTATAACATCAGCAAATTTACTGAAGTTTCAAAAAAAAAAAAAATGAAAAAAATTGTTTCTCACAGGTCATGGATTAGAACCTGTGACAGTTGCTGTTAGGTTGTGGTTTGTTCAGCATAAATGTTTATTAATTATCAAACACAAATGGTTTCTGACTTATTACTGTAATTCTGTTTATGATTAGAATATCTTTGAATGATAAATGGCAAAATTCCTAAGTTGCAACTAAGTAAAATTATGTTTCAATGCTAATTTTCTTAGATTAAGTGAAGGGCTATTTCACAGGTCAAATGATCTCAAGCATATTTTGAAATGGCCTTGTTTTTATAACCTTTAGAGAGTAAAGAACCTAATAAGAGTCACCCAGCTTTAGAAGTGTGTTCTGATTGACATAGGACCCAGTTTACTGAAACAAATGTATTGCTTAATATATGTTCAAATTCCTAAATCTATTTCTTGCTGGTCTGTAGTAGAACTCACTGTGCTTTTACTTTGCCTTTATAAAGCAAAAGCAAGACTTGGGGCTATAGACTGCACCCTATATGTGCAATATATATCACCCTTATGTCTGAAATCTAAATCTATATACTACCATACAAGTGTGTCATTTCTTGAGGCTCAGCAATCCGCTCTCCTTTAAATGTATAGGACATTCTTGAGGAAATAATCTTATTTCTTTTCTGAGTAGTACTTTAATTAGAATAGCAACAATTTACTTGCATATTTATTGGCTCCAAGTTCCTATAGCTACATAAGGAATTAAAACTAACACCATAACTTACGTTAGAAATACATTATTATTTTTTAAGCATCGGCAAAGTGCTCAGCAATGTACATGATCCAGTGAGTCCCAATCCTTCAGAAGTTCACTCTTTAATACTCTAATTCTACAAAGCTCTTGCAAGATTCTGGATGCCCGCTGTTGCCACAGACTTCCATTGAAGCTAAGAGACTCCAGCTTCCTTGTATGGGATTAAAGGAGTCAACGTGAGTGGGACACAAGAGCAAAGCACATTGAGCCTCTCAGAGGATGTTTCTCTCTAAGAACCCTTATTAGGGACGTGATAGCATTTTACTGAGCAGCAGTGGCCTTTGTGGAGGAAGTAAGATTGGAAACCTTGCACAATAGACTTTGGAATCCTAGAACTCGGAGAAAATTCCCAATATCTTCTCTTTTACTGCATTAAAATAGGCAATCATTAAAAATCCACATCCACAAGAAAATTATTATAACTTGTTTCAGTCACAAGTAAGGCTATCCATAAAACAATTCTATTGCACACAAACTTTTGAGGTTTCATATTTTGTTTTCATTCCAATGTGGAGCAAAACCAAGACTTAATGTCTTATGGGGATATTTTTGCCATTTTTGATACCTTAGAACAGCAATTCCTGGTCCAAATCGGGCACAGATGGTGCCTGAACATGAGTTTCCCAACTTCATTGTGAGTGCTTGGGCCATTGGATATTCTGGTGTCTCTTATTTAGACCTGGAATTCCATCCAGACCTGAGAAATATTTTAATCAAAACAGGTATGTTTTCCCATGAAACATTTTTGGTTTTGGTGAAATGACCTTTTTTTGAGACAAAAGAATTGGTCACCTTTTTTTACCAGATCTAGTCACAAGGAAGCAACTGACAAACTCCATCTTGTTAACGGGATAGCACTATGGTTTTGTTGCCTTGAATTATGGCAATATCACTAGCTTGGATGATCTTGCGACTTGTCCACCAACCTATTCTGAAATCTTACAAGAACAAGCATTTCCGGATACGATAATCAAACCAAACTGGAACAAGAAAATAGTCTTATTTTTTAAATCAAATCCAAGAACCAAAATCAGAAGGGGAGTTTTGGATCCAAGACTCCATTATAAGCCTGCCCAGAAATTCTAAAAAAGGTTTGGAAGCCAATGAGTCTACTTACTTGTATAACTCCCTGCAAGATCATCAACAATGCCTGTAATTTTATTTGAGCTGAAGTTAGTTTTTCCTAGTAGGTCAAAAACCCATCCCACCTTTCCTTTATTTTAAGAAAAAAAGGAAGATGTAGGTCTTATTTAGCATTAATTAAGATGTTGCTTGAAGAGAGGAGTTAAGTAAAAGGCAGGTTTCATACTAGTAGTTATAAAGCTTATGACTACTCATACTCATTGCTAATGTGGTATGAAAAGGTGTGGGGGATTTTCGTGTTTGTTGTCTGTTTGTTTGTTTGTTTGTTTGTTGCTAGGATCCTTAAAGTAAGGGCCACATATCTTCCCTCTGATCCATGATGTTGATGAGAATAGCATTGCATCTCCTTACTGGATATTCTACATGCAGAACTGCCATCTGCTAATGGGAGTTCCTCAAACAAAAGATCATGCACCACTGCAGATCAAATGGAAATGCTGCATTATGTCTTGTGGTACATTTCTGGCAAATAGCCATGGGTAATATTGTCATCCTTTGTCAACGGGAAAAAAGGGAAATATTACTTTTACCAGGTTCCAGTATTGCTTGTGGCTTTTTGTTGAATGGATGAAGGAAATATTTAAATGCCATTGATTGCTCATAATGTCTAGTGATTACTATGGAAGAGTTATTGACAGGACTACTGGGTTCTGTTCTTGACTCTCACTGAACATCTGTGTGACCTTGGAAGTCAGTTAATCTTTTTGGCACATCTGTAAAATGCAAAGTATTTAGAGCTGCCACTACATGCAAATAATGACATGCTGTTGGTAAGCATGAATAATCCCTACGGTGAAATTTGCCCCAGTGCAGAGGACTCGTAATACACTCCACACCATTTATTATGCTTATGAAGATGTGTGTGTGTTTTCCTTCCATCCCTCCCTCCTCAGTGCCAGATTATGATACTATTGTTCATACTGAGGAGTTCCTTATGATTTGACTGAAATGCACCAGT